AAATATGCACTGCACTTGAAACAGAGCACAAGTGAACAGACAAAATTCATGACAGTCATTCGCAATTGTTGTTGTACTTTCTACTCGTTTTGAAAAGTGGAGTTTTAACTATAGAAGATTGATAAAATATGAGGGGGGACAATTGATATGATTCCCCTCCCCCCAACTTTGTAAAATCGGGGGACGTGTCACCCACTGTTAAATGCCATTGATTTGATGTGTTTTTGTGGGCTCTGTTAAGCATATTCATATTTTTTTATTAAAACGTTGCCAAATATGTTATTTCCTTATGTTTTTTTAGAGAGGAAAAGGGTATTAAAGCATATTCGATCCCTATTGGCGGATCCAATGTTGTTGGTCTCCATGGTTACTTGTGTGGCTGGCAAGAACTCTTAGAACAGGTAAGTTGATTGGCAAACCTACCTGCAAACTAATATATTAAAACATGTGATTTTTCATCCAGCACAAATCTTAATAGATCTATTATAAAGTACATATATATAAACAGTGTTTAATTTTGAGTAGTTTTGTAGCTTGTTGGTTGATATGCTTGCCTGGTAATCCAGGGGTCCTGGGCTCTAATCATGCATGGATTAATTTAATGATTAAAACATTCCAGTCCCGAAGAGTTTAAATAGCGCCTATATGCATACATAGGACATTAAAGTGCAACATTGCACCTCACGATCAGTAGTCCAATACCTTACACGATGCATCACTTGCTCCTTACAAGCATGCTTATGATGTTATTGATTGATTGATTGTTTTAATTGATTTTGTTCATTAATGATGTATTAATGTAATAATAGATTTAATTAATAAATTTAATTTGATTTATTGCTCAATTGGTTGTTTGATGATGTGGATATATTTTTTTATCATTTTGATTGATTGATTGATTGATTGTTAAATTGATTCATTGATTGATTGATTGTTTTAGTGAGTGATTGCTTAAGCCTTGTCCAGGCAATCTATGTATGGATAGATTTATTGATTAATAGAGATTAATTTATTTATTTATTATTTTAGGGAGTGACTGACAGGTTTGATGATGTCATACTAACTGTAGGCAGTGGTGGAACAGCAGCTGGTGTTGCTATTGGGAACTTCCTTACTGGATCCCATCTCAGGTATTTATTAAATTGATCTTTTTATTTGGTAAAAAACCTGCAGGGCATCAGCTATTAAAACATAATGACTTACTACACACACACATGTATGGGGTGAACTTAAGTGTACTAGGGTCAAAGTTTGATACTTAATCATGACAGGGCTTAAGTCAGACGCTCTTAGTACGTTGTCCTTTAAATGCAGCTGATGTCTTTATTATTCCGCTAAAGGGAAACTCTTTTCTTACCATCACATTATACAGTAGATAAAATATATATAAAAATATGCATGAAACGGTCATCATAGAACATATACAAAATGTTTTAGAGGCAATGTAGTACAAGACACCTTTGCTTTTATTTTCAGGGTGCATGCCTTTGCTGTGTGTGACAC